AGTTACTGAAAAGTCTGTCTATGGGACTATTAGCTTAATTTTCATTTCTTTTGGGATCTTTAGAAAGTGTTCCAAATTTCAATTTTAAAGCATATTTTGCTAAACTGAAAAAGTCCCCCAATTTTCCAACTGGTTATTTGTCCTTTAGTGCTAATTCATGTGGTTAGCGATTCATTAATTTACCCAGCAGGGAATAATCACCTTCCATGGCCAGGAAGGAGTTCACTGTGAAGATGAGAATTTTCCTTGGTCATAAGTAACAGCTGGGGAAGGGTGTGCAGATGGAAGGGCGCATCTACAGAAATGGCTGTGTGAGAGAGAGTAGGCTGCCTCAGGCACTATGAGCAGTTCAATGTGGCTGGTGGGAATTTCCGTGGGAGTGGAGGGAGATAAGAAGGGGCATGACCATTCACGAGTGAATGAATGGATGAATGAATGAGTGCAGAAGTCCTTCGTCCTTTCCCTAGGGTGGCTGTTTCCTCACCAAGCAGACTGTTGGTCTCTGCATCTTCTTGGTGTGTTGGTTGCAATCTCGGTTAATATTTTTCTGCTCTGAAAAATCCCCATCACAAGGAGGAGAGGAAATAATTACCTTCAGTGTTCTCTCATATTTAAGTTGAGAAGTCAGCATGAATTCTAGATGTGGTGCATGTATTTGGATAATCAGCATAGCTGTTCATGATAGGTAACTTAATTTTTCCTCCTTGAGTCTTTTCTGGTTAGGATACCATGACTGAAGATTAATGACTTCCATTATTATTATATTTTTGCCTTCATGCAGGAATCTTTAAATTAGTCTGAACTTTGTACTAGCTATCACAGGAATCATTCCTACTACAATTATACTCTCTGTGTCATGTCCTAGGTTAGAGTCCTTGTATGATACCAAATGCAGGGCAGGGTTAAAAGTGTCAAGTGATAACCAGGCAGAAAACTGGCAATTTACAGTGACCAACACACCTCCTTGAGCTAATATCTCAGAGGCCTGAAGACAAAATCTTACTTATAAATATTACCTGAAATGAGGTTTATGATGTCACTAGATATATTTCACTGTATTTGGCTGTTTAGTAATTCACCTCTATTTTGGTTATTGTATACATTTATTGAAATGAGTTTAATAATAATAATAATAATAATAATGACAATTTTCTCTTAATGAATACTCACCATGTAATAGGCTCAGTTCTAAGCATGCATTACCCATTTCATCTTCACACCAGCCCAGGAGGTAGTTACTGTGTGTGGCACTATTTTACGTATGAGGAAACTGAGGCATACTGCTATTAAGTAATCTGCCCAAGGCCCACAGTTAAGGATCAGAGCTGGGATTCAAACACGGGCAGTCTGACTCAGAGTTTATGCTCTCAACCTCCATATTATAATGCTTATACACTGCTTGAAGCAAAGGGGTGGCTTTAGCCTCAAATATTAGAAATGCACCCTCCCAATTTTTTCTTATTAAATGTAAATAATTGACAGTTTTCATATATGTTATGTATATGTTGTCTGGCTTTTGAGAAACTTTGACAAAGAGTAAAGTCATAGAAGAACTGATCCTTCCATTCAGGTTTCATTACTTAGAAGAGTTTTGAGAATAGATAAGTGCGAAATGTTGTTTGTTTATATTAATTTTAAGTATAATATTTTTTAAATTTTTGTCAAATGCATAATTAGTATGTTTTTATACATTTACATTCTTAGGAGAGATTGAATTAAAAAAAACAACAAAAACTGCTAACCAAAAATTCCCCATGTGCCAAGAGCAAATCTGAATTTAAGGTCTATGTGCCCAGAAAAAGTGTTTTGTTATCTGAACCAAGAACACAAGCTTAATCCCTATAATGACTGCAGACTTACATTTCTAGTACCCATGTCATCTTATTTAAATAAATTTTTACAGTTTTTTTCTTTGTTAAAGTGAGGCAGACTTTCTCTCTGACATTTTTTTAAGCAGCTATTTCTCTTTGGGTTTATACCATACGATGCTGGTTCCAAGTGTCAGCATTTGAATTATCAGCCATTCCTTACCAGCGATCTGGTCCTGAGGTCCAGGATTTCTTTGGGCAGAATACAGCACTGTGAAAGTAATGGGGCTATCTATCGATGTCACCCAGAATGGAGTTAAAACCCTGTCAATCTCTGGCACACTAACAAGGTAGGTCTGAAGGTTCTTTAAAGTTTTCTTAGGAGTGACTTCTTTGACTACATAAACTTCAGGCCAGACAAATTAGCATACTTGGGCCTACAAATCATTCTTGGCCCAAGTTTAGAGATACTTCTCAGTCAACCATAGCTGTGATGATACTTGAGATTTGCTAATAGTTCTTGGTTCAGAAAAGGGTTTACATTCTTGAGCTACTTTTCTTTTATCAGGATCATCTTAATTATTGTCTGTGAGGCTAAGATCAAGGTAATGAGTAAGAACTGAATTCAGTTGTTTAGGTGCCCTTGTATACCATGAGCTTCTTAGACGGTGCCTGATGTGACGGCCAACAAATATTATTTGATGGTGATGACAGGAGGTAGTCTCTCTAGCTAGAATCTGCTAATACAAGCTCTGTTAAACTGACAATGATGCCCTCTATAAGCAGACTCCAATACATTGCACTAGTAATTTTAGGCAAAAGATTATAGTATGATATGTTTTGGTTTCCTCCTCCATTGCATGTAATGTAATGTAATGTAAGCAGCATAATCGGCTCCAGTTGGATCATACTTCTTTTGTTTCAGTGACTATTTTTCCCTGCCATATGACATCTCCAGGCATGAAATATCTAAATCCCCCCAAAATTGCCAAGTAAGAGTAAATGCCTTAGGCTATTATGATTATTATGATTATAGCGGGGGAAGGCAGTGCTGGTCTTTTAGAAAGTTCTTATTATGAATGTGTTTTGAAGTAAACATTACCCACTGACAGATGAACAGCATGAAGTTGAGTCAAAAAAGAAAAAAAACCTTTAGGTTTTATAAAGGTCGAGGAGATAGAATCTGTAATCTAGCTGCATGTTAGCAGAGAATGTACAAAACCCATGAAAGCTTCTAACTCAAAGACTTGCTGGATGGTTCTTGACTATTGTCTTGGATGGTGAGATGGTTGTCTTCAGCGTTGTTGGAGGAGCTATCTTCCTATGGAAAATTTCTGGACAGCAATACATGTGAAATGACAAATGCCTTACTTAGAGTGTTCTTGGTCTTGTCTGTTGAAAATGGAGATTTTAATATTCGGGCTTAAAGGAATTTTAATGGAATCTTATTAATGGAATGAGAAACAAGAAGCCCTGTGTATTGAGGATTCAATGACAATATTACCACAAGGGGTTGCTTTCCATTTCAAACTATATAATCCATGTTACCTTTGAGTAAAGGGAACAACAATTTTAACACCCTGGCTTCCTCAGAAGTTTCAGTTTTCACATAGTCACTGTAGGCAACAGCACTGTCAAATAAACAAAGATTTAATTAAATAAAAATTTAAACAGCAGAAATATTCTTCCCTGGCTAGTCACAAATTGGACAATTCAAAAACAGATCTTGGGGGAATTGCCAATGGATTACTTTTTCTGTTCTCTGTGTACTGCTATGTATTCCTTCTTGGTGTCAAATCTCAAGTTGAATTCAGTCAATTATCCACAGCAAACAAAAAATGCATAAATGTCTCTTTTGTTACTGTTGTTGATATTTCATCACTAAACAAAGCAAGTCTCCCTTCCCAGCTTTTTCCTTTGTGAGCTTATAAAACTGACATGATTTGAATATTGTGAAAGGTCTATTGTCATTTTGAAAGCATAATGATTGATTTAGTTATTTAAAAGTTTATTACAAAGATTTTGTTGTTGCGAATATTACAATTGCTTTTAAAATTTGTTGAAGAAGCATACTATTTGCTGAGGATTTGGAAAGGATTTGTTACTGGGTGTGATGTTGGGGATACGTGTATGTCAATTCCATTTTTTTTTTTTTTTTTTGCTTTTCTATTTTAGTCACCTCTTTTGACTTAAAAGTGCTTTCCATGGATTCTTTAATAACTGCAAGTATAGAAGTACGGTATAACAAGTAGTTGGTATAACTAACACTTCAAAATGCAATGGGAAATCTAAAAAATATTGCCAAGAAAACAAGAAAAACCTGGGCCACAGGGACTCTGTCAATACTTTGTTATATCATTATCTCCCTCAACAATGCCATATGGTACATTCTGGTACATTCTTATGTAGCCTAGGTGCCAAGGGCCAGAGGAGCTGGACAACAATCTGTCTTCCCAATTTACTCTCTGAGCATACTTATTTCCTTTAAGATATGAAAAGGATTTAGTTGTGCTCATGAAGCACCTTTTCTCTCCTCCCTGCCTCAGCCCCCTTTATTCTCATTTCTGTGGGTGGGAGAAAAGGCTGCTCATCTAAAAAGATAGCTCTAAAACTGTTCTGTAAAATGATCTCTTTTCCTCTACAAATGATTGTTTTGGTTTCAAATTTATTTCAGGTACATTAAGCTTCCCTCTACTCATACTTAATAACAAATAAGTCTACAAAGGATTAGAGTGGAAAAGGTAAAATAAAATTGAAACATACATAGTTGCCCAAGCTACTTAATGCATATAATTTAACTCAGCACCACTCCTACTAAAAATAAAAAGATGACAATTACCTCAGGTTTTTGCTGCTGTCATTGCCCTTCAGATTCCTGGGGTAGCTTGGTCCTTTAATGCCGGCAGGGTTGGGATTGTCAAGCCAGAGAAGATCTTGCTCCAGGTGTAGTTGCATTTTCCCAGGCCATCTGTCCTTTCTTCAGTCAATGAAGCTGTGATTTTTCCCTGGTCTTGTGAAGGAAAGTGATTCCAGATAAGCAGATTATTGTGTGGACTATCTCATCTTTGTTGTTCTAGTGCAGCCCTTTCAGCTTTCCAGAGCCAGTTAGACTTGTTATGAGGAGCTAAGTGATTGGCTGGATCTGGGGCTCAGTTTCATAAATTATAGCCCGGCGTACGAGAAGCACGAGTCCTATAGTTGCTGTAGTCCAGAGGCCTGCCAGTTCCTGCTTTAACGCATATGTAGTCGTAATTGAGTTCTAACACGGCCTTGGATGTTTCTGTCCTAAATAGCTGACATTGCATCTTCAAGACTGTGTGAGTAATCCTGACTTATTTTTTTAAACTCAGTAAATTAATTACATGCCCTGAAAGAGAGTGATTGTAATTAGAAAATACTGAATTAGCAGATGATTCATTTTCAAGGTGCTTTTATGTGTAACAAGTTCAATTCAATTTATCTTAAAGCTTCTAAGACCTGACAGGGTTATTCCAGCTTTTTGCCATGAATCACAATCAAGCTGCATTTTGAAGGTGGCTGTTCAGTGCATTTGTAGCCCTGTTTGTTTTATAGGGGCAGTAAAGTGATAAAGGTCCAACATGAGCAGGTTAAAACAGGCTTCTGGTGTCAAGGCAATGGTTGAGAGAGCACTTCAGTCAGGCAAATTTAAAAATTTCTCACTCCCACTGTCCAAAACTGGGAGGACGCAGCAAATGATAAGCATTCCTTTTGGGACGCAGGTACAAAGCAGTTAGAGTGACAAAGAAAGAGAAATGTAAAATGATTGAAATATACTTTTCACCGTCGTTTGAAACTGAACTAAGATATACTCTATACATACCTAGAGAAATTTTATATGTATAAAAATGCTCCTCAGTGATTCTGTTTATGTGGTAGAGAGCCGAATGAGAAATCACTAGCTTGCTTTTAAAAGCCTTATAAGAAGTATATTAAACACACACAGACACATCCATAGTGGAAGAAAGTATGTGGATTGGAATTTGTGGTTGGAGCAGATCAAATTATCCCAGGGAAGCCGTTGTTAAGTTGTGTAATTGTTGGGGTGACTTCAGTTACTAACAAGATTTAAGATAAAGCTGGAACAGACTGAAATGAGAAACTAGAAAATATCAGTGTTTTATTATCTTCTATAGCATACACTGCAGGAAAGAATTAATATTGGGTATAGACTGGTTAGTGTAAGCAGTTCACTTTTTACTTTAAAAACATTATTGATTTCTCCTAGCCAATCTTTTGAAAAAAAAAAAATGGGCTTTTGTCTATAAATTTAATGCTTAGAAATAATTTTCTTCCTCCCAAATAATTTTTATACTTTTTCTTAATACAGCACAAAGCTAGGGATTTTTTTATAATTTTGAGATGTTTTCCAGTTTGTTTGATTTTTCCTCTTTAGACTTATAGATACAAATGTATATATTTGTGCTATGTATAACCTTCATGCATAAATCATTTGAACAATTGTTTAAAATCACGAGTTCTTGTGGAAAATACACATTTCTAATAGCTATCATAATTACTTGCCAATTCCTATAAAATATTATTTATATACTAAAGAGCTGTTTATTTTTGGTTGCACCTATTTAAATGACTAGCATGATTTAATTGGGAGGAGAGAAATATAAGTTGTGTTTTTTCAAAATTTTATGTTTAGATCATACTGGAAAAGCAAAGTTTTGTTAAAAATATTTCGCTTTCTGGACTATGACACCTTTTAGGTCTTACCAATAGATGAGATTCATACAAGGAAAGAAAAATAATCAACATAGAATTCTTTTTAGCAACCAAATGTATAAAAATAGTTTTAAAGAAAAATAATTCTAATGTAGTCTTTGAGAAACACATTTGCTTTGTGAAGAAACGGTATGAGTTCCTTTACTGAGAAAGAAAAGCGAGTTAATTTATTAAGTTTCCATAGCTATAGACACTAATAGCAATAGTTGATTCACTCGTTGTTCTGCATTCTTAACTGTATTAGTGGAAGAAAGTGGTGCATCTATAAAAGGAATGTAATCTCATCCCTCAAAGTGGTCTGGGGTCCGGCTAGAGTAAGTAGTGGGGTGGAAACTGCTTTATCTGAACTGGCTTCTGACTTCTAACCTGGCTCCTCTTCTTGTCGCAGAATTTGTGCAGTTTTTTCTTGATGTAGCAGTCACCTTCCCTCATACCTTTTCCTGCCTTCATTCTTTATATTAACTTGCTTGGGCTCTTATTGAGATGACTTGAATAAATATGACTTATGCTTCATTATCTAACTTTAATAAGCTGCACATAGAATTCAGAAAGCGTTTAGAGCCAGAAGTAGAGGGCTCAGGGAAATTCTGGTGGCTATATACTAGGAATACGAACATCTTGCGTTGGTGCTTCCTCCAGGACCTTCATTTTTTTAGTTCTCCCTGAAATGCCAGGGTCACATCTTTTTCTTGCAAATGGGCAAGATATTAAGAAAAGCAAGAGTAGCGAGGTATCAGGTGCCCGATGAATAGAGAGCAGTGGGCAAGGAGCTTTGGGAAAAGGAAATATTCACAAAACAGCAATAACTGATCTTTCTTCTCTCAATTCCTCTTTATTTTGTAAAGCCACTTTTGTCTGACTGGAAGTACTTTTGCAGATACGGTTCTGTAAAACTATGCATATCTGCCTTAGACAGATGGATTTGACATAAGATGTATCCAAAAAGGAATGTATTACATCATGAACTTGCAAAGCGTTCATGAATACACATTGGCATTTGGAAACTATTACCACTACCTAGTAAAGCAATGACATAAATCCAAATTGAAAAAAAATATTATTTCTTGATTGAATTATATTTTCCAGTGTTTTATTTGGTGAATTTTGCTTTTGGAAAGACTTGCTCTTCTGTGAGACGTTTTTTGCCAGTGTTATATATAACAGGATAATCTTATTGCTTAACTTTGCCTCCCCTCCCCAATTTAATTATTCCTAGTTGGTGTTTTCAAGAGTTGCTGTCCTCGCTTGAGCATGTTTTAAAGAAAACAGAGCAAAACAAATGAAACAAACACCCCCACCCCGACACGCACAGTACCACAAAGAGCTAAATGCTTTAGATTTGTATAGTTCTCTCCTTTTGTGGAGCTTGACACTACCCATTGGTGGAGAAGAAGCTTTCACTTAAGTTAAAAATAATTAAATTAATTATTCTATTTTAATTATATAATGTATGCAGGTGATATAACTTCTTACTATATTACTCACTAGCCAATATTGTGTCTCTCCACTTTTCAGTTTCAAGAAGCAGAATGGCTTAGTGAATTAATCTTGGTCAGTGAGATTATGCTCAGGTCATTAAATTTTTTTAAGCCTCAGTCTCTATGTCTGTAAAATGAAATAATGATATGTGTCCTGGTATTTTACTGTATTAGTGAATATCAGCAGCATGATGAGAAAGTGCTTGTGAAAGAACATTTTAATTCTTTGTACATTATAATATACTATACAATGATAGACTATTATTATTATTATAAGAAGCTTCTTTTACTTCTAAAAGCATATTCCCAGTATTGGATAAATACTTTTTAAAGCAAAGCAAGTCTTCACTGTTTTATCTTGAAAAGTTACAAAGGCTGTAAGAGCCTCAGCCCTTATCTGTCTGTTACTTGAGTATAAAAATACCAGGAGGGTTACTGTGACAAGTAAATGTGGCATTGTATGTGAAAACATTTAGTAAACTTCTAAGTGCCATGTAAACATTACTTGTGACAACTATTTTCAGCATATTAATAAAAGCATAAATGATCAATTTTTAAAATGAAAATATATCAGATACATTTCTTATTGATTAACTTTCTACACTGTATCTGCCTCTCTCAGCCACGATGGATTTTCTTGTTGGTTAAGCTTGTGCCGTGACTTTCCTTCCACATAGATATAGCACCAGGCCAAGAGTCAGATAAGCATTCCTTCACAGTCCACATTTAGAACTGTTAATGATGACATTTTAGAAGATATCATTTTCTCACAGGAAAAAGTGAGTTAGAAAATTCAGGCTGACAGATGTTCCTGGACTTTTGATTCCTGTCTTGACTCTCTTTACTAAATTTCGCAGATGGAATAATTATATAGGTTTTAAGGTGATGCTTATTCCTAGGTCTTTTCATCTGAAGAATAGAGTGAATGGTCAAAATGACTTTGTCAATGATTCAGAAAATTCAGGCAGCAGTTTTTGAATCCCAAATTTTTAACTGGTTCTACTTTGGAAGATCATAATGGTTTTTGGAATATTGGTCACAGCTGTGTCCTATATTTCAGCTACTTGAACATACTGTTTTTAAGAGTTTGATTATTTTGTAACAGTGATATTGGTTATTTGAAAGCAGTTCCACAGCTTGTAGTACTTTTTTTTTTTTTTAGGTGAAATCAGAAGAGGAAGGCACAATAAGTAAAACAAATAAAAATGAAATGGGCCCTTTCTCATCTTTATCCCACACACCCCACCCAGCAGTTTATGAGGGAACTTTCTAGAAACAAAGAAATTTGATTTGTAGTAGTTTCAAAGCTGCCATCTAAGACCATTGTCCTGAATTTCTTTTGCCTTCGATGATTGGATGAGAGCACTCTCAGTAATTTAAAATTATAAGGAAAGAATGTTTTCAAACTTTATTTCCCCTCAGCTTTATTGACATATGACATTGTATAAGTTTAAGGTATACAGCATGTTGATTTGATACCCTTATAGATTACAACACGATTGGCACCATATCCTTCGCTAACATCTACATCACATCATCACATAATGACTGTTTCTCTTTTTGTGCTGAGAACATTTAAGATTTATTCTCTTAGTAACTTTGAAATATATTATACGGTGTCAACTATAGTCACTATGCTGTGCTTTAGATCGCTCTAGCTTATTCATCTTATAACTGGAAGTTTGTATTCTTTGACCAGTTTCTCTCCTCCTCATTTCCCCTGGCAACCAATATTACACTCTCTATTTCTATGAGTTTAGCTTTTTTAGATTCCACATACATGAGAACATACATTATTTGTCTTTTTCTGTGTCATTTATTTCACTTAGCATAATGCCCTCAAGTTTCATCCACGTTGCTGCAAGTGGCAGAGTATCCTTCTTTTTATGTCTGAATAATATTCCTCTCTCTAACTCTGTCTGTCTGTCTGTCTTTCTCTTTGTGACATTTTCTTTATACATTCATCCTTCATTAAACACTTTGGTTGTTTCCATCTCTTGACTATTGTGAATAATACTGCAATGAACATGGGGTACAGATATATCTCTTCAAGACAGTAATTTCATTTCCTTTGGATAAATACCAAG